GTCGGTCTCAGAAAAAAATAATATATTTCATATAATTAGTAAATTTTCCAATTTTAATATTGATGTGATAAGTTTAAAATTACAAGATTCAAAAATCTTTTTTTCTAATTTAATTTTTTTAGTCTATTTCAAAAGAAAAATATTTTTCCCATAATTAGTAAGTTTTTCAATTTTAATATGTATGGGATAAATTTAAAATCACAAGATCCAAAAATCTCTTCTTATTTCATAAATTTTGTGCATAGTCAAATTAACATCCTTAAACTAGACTTAGAAATACTTTATAAATTTCCTATCCAATCATAATTGAGAAAGATGAAGTATAAAAATAGGGATCTTTGCACGTGAAACTGGTAGATGCCTCCACAAATAATAAACATGTGTTTGTGTTGTTAATTTATGTGTTCCCACACCCTCTAAGAAGACGGCGTTAGGTCTTTTATAACGTCCACCTACCTTCATCATTCATATAATCTTGTGCAAGAATTTTCTTCGGATTTTCCAGATGTAAAAACAACAACAAAAAATTTAACTTGTGCTATACAAATTTTGTTTAATTACCTCTTCTTTTTTTTGGGTTTTCGCTTAGTGTTTAGGGCCTGCATTGGAGCTTAGACTAAATTCAAATCGTCCATGCGGTGGCATTCCTAAAAGGATTTTCTCCAAATCCAGGGCTCCAGTACTCGAACCGAAAACTAAGTTTGTCTCTTACCTTTAGGCTTTTACCACAAAAGGATATAAAGAATTTACAAATAATTGTACTATTTGAAAATCCACATTTCTATTGCGAGTCCATAACAAAAGAAACAGATTTGCAAGTTTCCGACTCAAACATAAACATGAAAAATACATATTTCAATCAACTATAAACTTAAGCTACACCACCATTCTCAATAGTTAACTGTCCATCTGTAGATTTCTGTGTTTCAAAATCTTGACCTCCCCACTTGCGCATACGCTCCGTCGTGTCGTTAACCTGTAATTCAACTTTCGTTACTAAGACACAATTTGTAATACTAGTATATTAGTACTAGTAACATCATGTATGTCAATTGGTGAAGAGTCAATTTCATGGTTATAAAAATCCCAAACCAATTCACCTACTCTATTTGTTTTAATATTTTAGGCCTTCTTATTTTGTTATATGCAAAAAGAATGAAATACCACCAGCACATTTTTTGCCATTTGACATACCTCCTTGTTCCAGTTAGTCTTGTACAGTATAATCAAGAGTAGAAGAGTCTGCAAAGCTGCCCCTGCTATCATCCCTAACCAAAGTCCCTGCACAACGCGTAACATAATTTAAAAGCTGTTAGTGAAGCAATGTGAACGAACACAATTCAGCAGGAGCTTCCTGTAAGTGACAATATACGTAGTTATTATCTCAGAAAGTCATTTTTTCTTGTTGATTTCCAATTTTCTTGAACAAAGAAAGTGATTGTCTGATATAATAACTATTAGTTGAGTGATCATCTGATAAATCAACTCCATTAAACTGACAAGAACATAGAAATATTGGTTACCTTTGTTCCTAATTTTGCTACATAACCAAGAAGATATCCTAGAGGGAGTCCAAAAACATAATAGCAACCAAGATTGATATAAGCTACTAAAGCTTGCCATCCACCTCCAATAGCAACCCCTGCAAGCATGAAGAAAAGCACGATATTATATTGGTGTTCTGAAGCAGTATTAGATCCATAATTAAACACAGAAATGTTGAAGCAAAACAATATATACCTGATATAACCGGCTGAACACTATTAAGAACCATGGTGATCCCTAGAAGGTAAGCAAGATCAGCAACAGCTTCTTGCATCTCCTTGCTGTTTGAAAAGATAATGGCCAGATGATCTCTAGCTACTAGTACAATTACCATGCAGAGTATCCCTATTAGGAGGGACTGAAACACCGTGATGTAGACTGAGTATTTGGTAGCTCTTGGATGTCCTTGCCCGAGTTCATTTGAGACTCGGATGCTGTTGGAAAATTAACAAGTCAACAACAATATCCAATGTATTCCCACAGAGTGGGGTCTGGGGAGGGTAAACTGTATGTAGACCTTTCCTCTACCTCAGAGGTGAGCTAGTGAGACTGTTTCCAATAGTCCCTCGACTCAAGACAGAAACAGACTAAAAAGATGTAATGAAAGTACAAAAGAGACAATATATAGTAAACAAAGCAACAGATAGTAACAGAACAGTACTACAACCAAATAATACTACCACAGCACTATGACTACTTGTTCTATTAACCGTCAAGACATATTTATATTACCTTATGGCAGCATTAATTCCAATGAAAAGCATGCTCTCCCATCCATTGATGTTCATACTGTAAAACACGAAATTTAACACGAATCAGAAATGAACTTGAAAATCTCACCAATAGATGCACAACAAGCTTGACTCAACGAGCTTAAACGTATCTATCTGTACTCACCAAATTGAAATGGATCCAACTGCTATCACGGCGTTGTTAAGATGGCCAACAAGGAGAATAATACTCATCATGTACCAAATCTCAAGGCATAACATAACGGCTGAAGCAATAGAAAGTCTCACAAATGCCCAAATCTCGTTGAATGCTGCCCAGGATAACCCTTTCCACCCATCCTTACACCATCCAATAACATACCCTAATTGAGCTATTGCAGTAAGCCAATTCGTGAGATCAAAGGCTATAGCAGCACCATTAGTACCCCATTCAAGTGTATATATAAAGAGCCAGAGGAACACAGCGTGCACCAGCACAGCCGCGAATCCAATCCCAGCGAGAACATCCACTTTACTCTGAGCTTGGAGAAATTTGGAAGTAGGGAAATTGATAGCAAGTGAAAACAACTGGGGGATGAGTAACATGGTATAACTTCCAGAGAGCTCCGCGATTGCAGTTTCTTGGCCTAGCAACACGAGGACTGGAGTCGTGAATAAGTAAATGGGCAATAGAAAGACACAAGTAGCAAGCAGGATTATGATGGATCGTTGCATATAAACTCCCAACATGTGAACTTGCCCTGCTCCATATGCCTGTCCACATAGTGTCTCCAATGCACTACCCATTCCCATCTGAAATTAAAGCAAGTCGGAAGATTATTCAACCATACAAGATAGATACAACTATAATTGAATCCCAAGCTAGTTTTGTCGAGTATAAATCATGTAGAATTCATTTTAGTACTTAAACTTGTATAAAATTGAACAAGTAGACACATATATTGACATAATTCATGTAGAATGCCTTATAGCACGTGTATGTCTATTTGTTCAATTATATACAAGTTTAAGTGTCTACTTTTGCACAAAGTTGAAGGACATAAATATCAAATGAGACCAAGTTAAAGTATTGTATATGTTTGTGTATTATGCGTTTTAAATAAGATGAGAAGGGAAAGAGAGAGCTAACCATGAAGCCAAAAGAGAAAGTACTAATAACAGTCTGAGCAATAGAAATAGCGGAGAGCTCAATATTTCCAAGATGACCAACAAATATATTTGTAAGGGAATTCACTCCATATTGGCAGATTATGTTGAATGCTATAGGACCTCCTATTCTCCACAGCTTCAATGTCTCCACGCACAAAATTGCCCACCAATCCTTAATACTTTTTGCCGGACGGTAGTCCCCGTCCGCCCCGACAAGCTGGTTGTGTTCGCCGGAGTAGCCATTCAGCAACGGTGTCTCCATTGTGAACTAAACACTTCAAGTTACACTTTAAAATTTCAAATGATCTTCCAGACTTACATCTTTAATATAAGCAACAAAGCTGTATGTTGATTGGTCCACGTCACTGCAACCTAGGATTAGTAATGGGTCCCATGTAATTTTTTATATAAATTTAATTTTTAATTAATTGGGAGTAGGGAAGGGGAAATAGGGGAGGTGATTACAAGCATAGGAAAAGTCAGAATTTTAATCTTATAAATTTTGAATTTTATAACAATGATTTCTATCGTTAATAATTGAGTTTTAAATTTAATATGAAGTTATTGGGTATAGGCTCGGTCTTCTCAAGCTCCGCCCCTGATTACAAGGTGATACTTGAACCCTCACCAATAGTATGAAAGTTCAGATAGTCAGTTAACTAAATCGTTAAAAATTGACTCATGATTTGAACATTTTTTTACCAACCCCCATAGTACATTGAATGATTTTGGTGCGTGCTACTCACCATTCCACAAACTTTAGCCAACTACCTTTCTAGGGGAATTCGGATTATTGGGACTCACTTATGAACTACAAAACAAAAGAATTTGTTTAACGTTTTATGTTCTGAAATTATGAAAAATATATAAACGTTAAATTTGATTTTTGTGGTTTTAATTATTTATTGCTAAAGATTATATTTTTTAATTATGGGTGTAATAGTTGGAGTGAGGAAAGAATGGGGAGTGTTCAACCTTAAAAATTGTGCAACCAATGTGTCTGGTAAGTAGAAACAAAAGAACACAACAGATCAGATAAAGTACTCTTATTGTCCTGTAAATTGTAGTAATATTTTACTCCTATGTTTTTTTAAGAAAAAAATAGTATAATGATAAAATTTGTGTAAGTTATCCCTCCAAAATTTTCAAATTGATGGGTACATTAAAGGTGAAAAATAAACAATTTGATTTTGTTATAAAATTAATTAGTGTGCATGTTCATTACTCCCTCCGTTTCATATTAGTTGATCATATTTCTTTTTACAAGATATCATAAATAAGAAGATAATTTTATTAATTCACCCCTTAAGAAATTTCTTGTGAATTTTACAAACAAATGTGAATACTTTCAAAAATAATTAATTGCAAGAATAATATATCACTACAATAAAAAATGCTTTTAGTGGCATTTATTTAGTGGCAATAAATAAATTGCCACTATACATCATATAAACTATACAATTACCGGCGTTTAAACTTTAGCCGGTATACCAAGTACTTTTCACCGGCAATTAAAAATAAATAGGGTATAATAATTTTTGCCCCAATTCCTTTTCATTGAATTGAATTATTTTTTTTACTTTTACCCCAATTCCTTTTTACTTTGAATATTCCTCCGTCTTCTCCCTTCAACGAAACTCAAATGGTCAGCAATGGAAATCAACACGACGGCGGCGGAAATAGGCACAACAGCGGTGGAGTTCGGCACAGCGACGGCGGAGTTCAGAACATCAGTGCTATTGAGAAGAAAGACGAATCAAAGCCGTCAACGTCTCTTCACAAGCTCACCGTCAGTAGTTTGTATTCATATTAGCAAATTCATCATCGCCGATTGCCTCATATTCAATCAGATTGAATTCGAACTGTACGACCATGCCGTTTGGTGACTACTAATATCCATTTTATTCAATTGTTGGGCCTTGTATGGGTGTATGTTCTAGAGTTCTATCTTTTATGTTGTTTGAATTGATGCATGTGTTTCTATATCACATAGTCTGATCTTGTGTCCAATAAAATTGGTGCAGAATTGCAGATAGCAACCAAATTAGCTGTTGTGGAGTTCGATTTTTGATCTCCTATTTGAAGGTAAACAACTAAACTTAGTAGTTAATTGAAACTGTATTTATTCATATAAAACTCAAATTTTCAATTACTAGGCCAATTCTTTTCGTGATCTCTGCTGCCGAAGTCAGGCTAGTGAATCAATAGAGTGTACTTTTACAGTTTATGCAGTGAACTTGAGACTTCGCGCACTTATGCAAAATCTGATATTCAAGTTCCTAATGTACCTACATTTTATCACTCTTATTTCTTCTAGAAATTCGATGAACATTAACATAGGTATTGGTCTGCTCCAGCTCATTTGCACACTGTACAACTGTATTTCATACAATGAGCAATTGTGAATAGAGGATATATGCAGTGAACTTGAGACTTCGCGCACTTATGCAAAATCTGATATTCAAGTTCCTAATGTACCTACATTTTATCACTTCTTATTTCTTCTAGTAAATTCGATGAACATTAACATAGGTATTGGTCTGCTCCAGCTCATTTGCACACTGTACAACTGTATTTCATACAATGAGCAATTGTAGAATAGAGGATATATATTCGCAGAAGGACTAAGTATCACTTTGCTTGTAATCTTCTACATTTCTGTACGTTCTATTGATGTTACTTTGGGTGCTAAACTTAGAAGACCAAAATACTGGGCATGAGTAACCTGTATGTATCTCATATTGTTATGGCTTGTACTTGTTTGCATTCCTAGTTCAATCTCGTTATGTGTCAATTGTTAATGTAATACCATTTTGTGTGGGTTCATCATAAATCAATTAACTTTATGTTGGTTGTCAATCCATTGGACCCCTTCTTTAGCCAAGCTATTTTCTGTTATTCTCTTAGTGTAAATGTCTTATTTCTTTATCAATCAAAAGGGCTCTTAATAGAAGTCAAGTATGTTAAACGAGTGATTCTGTTTATTGCAAGAATTGGATTATAGAGGATCCTAATGTAGGAATAATGTAATTTTATTGTTTCACTAGGTTAAGTGCTTTTAAGAGATCAAGATGGAGGGGGTGTAAATGCTAATGTCTTGATGGAGTATGTTGAATTTCAGATTTTTTCGAGTCAAGGCAAGTGAAACTAACTAAAACAAATTTTTCGAGTCAGGGCAAGTGAAACTAACTAAAACTACTTGTTCTCTTTATACATAGGTAGTTCTTTGATTGAAGGAATGAAGAGCAGACATGAGGATACATCACCATGATGAAGAACTTCCTTCAGGTTCATTCGTAGCTACTTAGTGATCTTCCAAATGTGTCAATTCAGAGCTCAATCTTAATATTCTCCTATACTATGTTAATTATATCATCACAAGTTGTTGTATCCGAGTTTGGATGATAGTGGGTGAGGTTGTATCTAAAATGAAAGAAACATTTCCTGATCCTTATGTGCAGATTGTTACAAGTAAAACACTAGAAAGTGTTGATAATCTCAAGAAGAGAATTATTGTTGTATACAGAAAGTTAGTGTTTGAGATCTCGTTTCAGCTTCAGTCAACAAATATCGATCTAGATTTTAGGTAGATGGTTGAGAATGATGTTGACACTGCCTTTGCATTTAAAAATGCACCTTTTTGGTGCAACTTAAACAAGAACATCTAACAGAAAAATGTTTTGCTATAGCTTAAGTTTCTGCGAAGCTAGAGAGATTAATAAGACATGAAATAAAAATTTTGGGTGTTGCTAAAGGAGAAAGCAGTTCCCATTCTTTAATGAGGTTTTATCAATGTGTATGAAAGTTGGTGGATATACATTCATTCTTTATGCACTGCTGATAAATTCTTAACTGTCAAACAGGTTTTGTCAGTTTAGATTGTGGAGGCAAAGACAATTTCACAGATGAACTTGGTCTTGAATGGACTCCTGATACTCAAATGATTAGCGGAGTTATAGTCAATCTCTCTGTAGCAAATGAGACGAGGACACAATATATGGCCTTGAGATACTTTCCAGCCGATAACAGGAAGTATTGCTATACACTTGATGTGATTCCCCAAACAGGTACCTTGTAAGAGCAACTTTTCTATATGGAAACTTTGATAACGACAATGTTTACCCATATCTCAGTTGGGGCAACTCATTGGGCTACAATAGTTATACCTGATGCTAATACAATGGAGTACCAAGAGGTAATATATCTAGCCAAGGAACCTTCCGTAAGTGTCTGTTTATCTAATGCAACCACTGCATTTTCCTTCATTTCTAGTTTCTACGCTTGAGCTCTGACAATTTAATGGTTCAATATATATTACTGAATTTGAGAATGATTTTTTCATGAGCGTCTCTGCAAGGATAAATTTTGGCACAGAGAGTGATGATCCTGTCAGGTATGTTTCAGTTCTTCAGTTATTATGGCAGCTTCCAAATCTATGTTCTTGCACATTCTTGTATACTTTTAGAATGTGATAGCTATTGACATTTTTGAATTGAAACAAACAGGCTTAGGCACTGTCCCTAGCATGCTCTTCTTCTCGCTTATTGTTTTTTTTCGATTTCCAAAATTTTAATCTTCCCTTAATGTCCTTATTCTCCTAGGTACCCTGATGACCCATTCGATAGAATATGGACGTTATTGGGTACAGGCTCGGTTTTCTCAAGCTCCGCCCCTGATTACAAGGTGGTACTTGAACCCTCATCAATAATATGAAAGTTCAGATAGTTAATTAACTAAACCGTTAAAAATTGACTCGTGATTTGAAGTTTGAACAGTTTTGACCAACCCCCAGAGTACATTGAATGATTTTGGTGCGTGCTACTCACCATTCCACAAACTTCAGCCAACTACCTTTCTAGGGGAATTCGGATTATTGGAACTCACTTATGAACTACAAAACAAAATAATTTGTTTAACGTTTTATGTTCTGATATTATGAAAAATATATAAACGTTAAATTTGATTTTTGTGGCTTTAATATTATTTATTGCTATAGATTATATTTTTTAATTATGGGTGTAAATGTAATAGTTGGAGTGAGGAAAGAATGGGGAGTGTTCAACCTTAAAAGTTGTGCAACCAATGTGTCTGGTAAGTAGAAACAAAAGAACACAACAGATCAGATAAAGTACTCCTCTTATTGTCCTGTAAATTGTAGTAATATTTTACTCCTATGTTTTTTTAAGAAAAAAATAGTTTAATGATAAAATTTGTGTAAGTTATCCCTCTAAATTTTTCAAATTGATGGGTACATTAAAGGTGAAAAATAAACAATTTGATTTTGTTATAAAACTAGTTAGTGTGTTCATTACTCCCTCCGTTTCATATTAGTTGATCATATTTCTTTTTACAAGCATATTAAGAAATCATAAATAAAAATATAATATTACTAACTCACCCCTTAAAAAATTTCTTGTGAATTTTTCAAACAAATGTGAATACTTTCAAAAAGAATTAACTGCAAGGATAATATATGAAAACTTTGATTACTATTTTCTCTTATTTATGAAGGTGGACAACTAATATGGGACAATTATTTTTAATAAGATGATCAACTAATATGGGACGAGGGAGTACTACATAATTAAATTTTCATTATTGCGCATTATCTTCTATCACTCGTCTTTATTATGTACAATAACCACTACTTCAAAAATAAGTTTAAGTAACAAGTAATTAATGACAATAGTTTAATTGTCCTTAAATATATTTTTTAGAAATAATTACTAGTGACATCTATATTTTAATGCTCTTTGTCACTAAGACCTATAGAAACATTTAATTAATGATAATTAACTAGGTACATTTGCATATTTACATTTGGAAGATAGAAGAAAGCTAGCTCTTTTCTCTTTAAATTTCTTGTTTTCTTTCTTATTTCATATAATAGTGTTTCTCATCTTCTCTTTTTTTTTAAAATGATTTTACATTTTTCAAAGTAGCAAACTGTTTTAGCACATTACATTTTCACAAGATGGATCTCTCTAACGATCATACTTGTTTTTTAAATGCTTCACTTGAGTTAAGGATCTATCGGAATAGTCTGTCTATCTTCAGGGGTAAAACCATGTGTATACCATCCTTTTAGATTCAGATTCTATTTATAGAAGTACACTGAATATGCTATTGATATTGATTGTCTCGGGTGGATCATAGTGTATCTCTCTCTTTTCTCTTTGGGTTGTCAATCTTATAGAGGAGTGAAAGTAGGAAGCCCATAAAGAAGGGCCAATTCTTCAATTTTGGGCCTCCAAAAACTAATAGAATGAGGATGACTTGTGTTTCTCTGACTTGATATATTAGTTCAGCTGTGTCTGTTGTCTTATAATACTGGATAGATAAAGTTAGTTAGACATGAATTTAATAGTAATTTATAAATATTTTTTTTATTTTTTCCAAAAAAAAATTAAAGGAAAACTAGAAATAGTTGAAAATCTATTAAGAAACAGGTAATTTCTTTAAAAATAATTAATATATATTTGACTTTGATTTTTTTATTTTTCTTTGGACCACGGAAGAAGTGCGAGAAATTCATTTATTTTGGACCAGAGGAAGTATAATATATTAATTAAGTGATTGAAAAATGCAGGTGCTTTAACATTTTCAATGTTTAAAATAAGTTAATTACACAATTTAATATGATATTAAAGCATGCATAGGTTCTGAATTTAATCCTCATCGTTATCTAAAAAAAATACTGAAAGAAAAAGTAGGCACTCTATGTAAAGAGATGTATTAAGACCTAATATAATACTAATTAATTATGAAGTGAATTCTTTCCAAAGTTTTTTTTACAAAAAAATTTAAAAAAACTTTTAAATAAATTGATCACATAATATAAGTCAAACTGTTTCTGTAATTTCTCTCCGGAAAGATTTACTAGGACACGAATTGTCAAATAGCGCATTTTCTTTTCCTCTTTACATACATTTATCCAATAATGCATTCAAGATGAAGTTAGCAGTACGAGGACCAGCATTCAGGTACAATAGTGGTTCAATGTTCACATCCATTTTTTAATGCACACAAAAAAAATGTATTTATACATGAATCTCAAAATCCCACGGTAGACATTGAAATTTTGCGGACTCTACAAGTTCAATTCGAATTGGGACTCTAGAGGTGTGTTCAGTTTCAATTAGAATTCTTGGAGGCTACTCAACCATAAACTCTAGTTTATACCTATATAAAGGATACTAAATTCCCCTAAAAGGCATCTCAAAATATCCCATAAACTCTTGGGTATTTTTAAAGAACAAGATCTCGAATATTCCACAAAAGTCATGGAATATTCATATAGATTTTAAATCTAAATCATCCTAGTTCGAGAAATACGTCACTAACGGCCCTCGAATCATGGATAAATCTTAGGAGAGTAGAATCAAGGGAGGAATAGAATTGTACCCTCATATTTATCAATAAAGTTATGTTTCTTCAAATTTTATTTGTGTGGTTTATTTATTTTTCATATGTTTAAAATTTGTTGTAAACACTCACAACCATTAACTTGTTAAATAAGTGATTTTTTGTTTATATTTTGTGTTAAGTAATGTAAATAAAAAAATGTTATTTTAAAAAACGTTTATATATTTGAGACAAAACTACGAGGAAATGAATTATATAAGTATTAGTAATACCTAAAAGCATTTGACAGAACTAGTTGCAAAATAATTTCGAGTTACTGTTTGTATACATTAGAGCTTGTGAGGATATATAGTGACAAATATATTTTTGCACAAGAAGTATCCAAGAACCTTCCTCCACAACTGTGTTATTCTTCTATACAGGGGTGTACGGACTGCGTTGTTTCAAGTTTTTTAAATATTAAATTGAATTATTTGTATTGAATTTGTAAATTTATAAATTAATAAAATTATAGTCAGATTTTTCAATTTCAATTTTTTCAGATAAAGTCTTCGTGCATATACATAAATTATAATTAATATATGCTTTAAATATTTTTTTAATAACTGATCCTACTAATTGTAACATTTTCCTTACCGTCTAATTCAATCTAGTAGTAGTACTTTCTTTTTTTTTATTGGATTTTTCTAAAAGAAATCGTGAACAATGTGTTGCATAACTTTATTTAAGTACATGTTTCCTTCTTTATATTTCAACAAAGATATTACGTTTTATGATGTTACTTTTATTTTCTTGTACGTCTTTATTTTAACAATTATAAGTTCAACGTACAATATGCATGCATCCTCACAATTTTGAATATATAACAATATACATGCAATCATATACAAAACTATAGTAACATTGAATCCCCTCGGGCACTACCTGATTCCGCATGTGCTTACAAGTAATTTTAGTCTTTCAGTTTGTGCCCAAAAGAGATTTTCTAAGCATACTCATTAATTTGTTTAATTTAGTTGAATAATCTAAATTTCAGTAAAGAGGATACAGTTAATTAAGATGGCAAATTTTCTTTTCTTTTTTCAATTAAAGAAATTGGTTCTTTTAGTATCACGAAGAAAATCAAGTTAGGTTTATGTGCAAAGATTTTTCCTTTTTTTTTTAATATTTTAAAATCTTTAGTACATTGTCTTTGTTTGTTAATATTATTGTTATAAATCACCGATACACTTTTTCTAGGCTAAGTTCAAGTTTTAGTGTGTGCTCTTAACAGGGGCCCCTATTTCTTGGGTATTGTATTCCAAGATTTAGCAATTATAAAACATTTTATAACAAATAAATAAAAAATAATACTTTAATAAATAATTATTATAGAGTCCTCACTCTAGATTTGACTTATAGTAATACTAACCTTTTTTTTTATAACTAATAGGAGAAAATTTTCTTGTTAATCATTTAACTTTGTGTTAATGTTATAAAGCTAAATCGGAAGGAATTTTTTGAATTATTTCAAATGAAAAAGACAAAAAAAAAAAAAAAAAAAGGAGCTGGGTTTTTGGACACCAACCATTTAAATATCCTTGCTAGGGTGGTGTTTGGTAGGAAGAAAAATATTTTTCTGAAAAAACAATAGAATTTAATTTTTTACTTATTTTTTTAATTTTTAGTAACTAAGTAAATAATAAATTAATATCTCAAGAGCATTTACTTATTGTGAGGATGAAATAGTCCAGAGTTGAGGCCGGTTAGGGACGTTGGGTGGATGGAGATGAGACAATGAACATGAAAGTTACTTATGAAACTTGATTTACCTATCTTCATTAGAAAAGTCATTTTCCTCATTTTATTAAAAAACTTGTTTTTGTATAAAACAATATTTTATCCAATCAAATATTATTATTATTTTTTAAAAAAACTCTCCCCACTAAACTCACCCTAAAAGGAGAATAAAAAGAAGACTTGGAACATAAAAAATGTTATCCTTCACAAGCCTTTCTTATCTTTAGAAAATAGGGAAACATAAGATGAAGAATAACTCTATTGGTTTAGTCTAAAGTTTAAACAAAAAATTCTATTCATTCGACATCTAAGCTTCTACATATTTTTTACTTCATTTGATATTTAGAAAGTTAAAAGTTGAAAATAAAATTTTATTTAAATTATATTTTTAGTAAAAAACGAAGAAAGTACAAAAAGAATAATTTATGATCAAACGACTCTTAAAAATGTGTACCATTCCCTCATCTTCGAAATTCTTCATCATTCTTTGACTATTAGTATGATATAGAAGAATTCTTTTTGGTGATCATTTAATTATGAGTTTATTATATATTTAAGTATTCCCTTTCTCAATTTAGATGACTTAATTTCCTTTTCAGTCAGTCTAAAAAATACAACACATAAAAGTAATTTATAGCCACACATTATTATTACTTATTTTAGATTACAAATTTTAAAAATCTTTCTTTCTTTCTTAAACTTCGTGATAAGTCAAGTAACTCATAAAAAATAGGACGGAGAGAAT